GTTTGCTGTGGACTCATCTTGTTGTGTTTCAAATATAATAATAATAATAATAATAATAATAATAATAATAATAATAATAATAATAATAATTTGCACTAGTACTCAAAAGAATTGCACCAGCAAAATACTACTAACCCAAGTTCCACCAGCCTTCTTCTAACAATACTAACAATCCTTTCCTTTGCCATCTGTTTGCCTTCTTAAATGCTCCCCCCCCCCCCAAATGGATCATACAGGAGTGCTTTTCTAATAAGGGGATATGCAGATTGCTTGCTTGTGGATGTTGCTGACCTCTTCCAGTATATTGTAAGAACAAAAATTGCAAAAGCTTTGAAAGACGTTGCTGTTGTTTTTTTTAATTAATAAAAAAAGTGTAATAGTAGGCTGTGTGATATGGAGGTGCATCTTTGACATTTGACAGGAAGGAATGGTGCCCTGCTGCTCTTGGAGAAGTTACAGGATGGGGTCAGTGGGGGATACCTTTTTGGGAATTTTTAAAAATGATATTTTATTTTTTATAAAGAAAAAAAATCCTAAAATTCAGGGGATGACCCAAACATTGTGAAACTTGGTGGGCCAGCAGTGGTAGAATTTTCATCTCAATTTCCCTAAAAATGTTGGGAATGGGAGCCCATGGAACCCCCCCCCCCCATTGCCACTGGATCTAGCTGAATTTTCTGTCTGTGGACTGAAAATGCCCATTCGGATGCCCACCCATTTTCGAGAGGTGTGCAAAAACGGATTTGCGGGTCCACCAAAATCCAGATAGCAGAAATGGCGCACGGTTCAGCCAAAATGCACAAGCCTAGTTGCCACTTCATGACACCCCACATCTCCCTATCCCTGAAACTTGGGATGGCCTAAGGCAGTGCACGAGCTTATGTTCTTGTGTGGACTGACTTGTTTTTAAATGACTATGTCAGAGAATCCAGGTCTCGAATAAATCATGAATATACAAAAGGCTTGTACATGAATGGGGATGTGATTAGACTTGACACAAGAGTTGGCAGCTTTTCCTTAGAGCGTGTTTCTTTGGCTGAACCTTGTTGCCGCATTTGTAGGGACTGAGAGCAGCTCATCAGAGCAACCAGCTTGAAAAGACAATCATACTCTCTGGCATTGCTCAGGCATGCATATCATCATCCTGCTTGTCAGCTACCAAACGTTTGCTGAAATGGAATTGCTCTGAATGCCTGGATAGTGTACAGGATTATCCTTTGAAGAGAAACAGGTGGGAAACTCTTGGTCTCCATGGCTACCATACATTTCAAACCAAATAGAAGATGTAAACCTGCCTCAAAAGAGTTGAGGTCTCCTAGTATATGCACCGAGGTTGAACTGGGCAATCTCCAGATGTTGTTGGATTGCAGCTCTCAGCAGCCCTAACCAAGGATGTGGCTTGCTGGGACTTGCAATCGAGTGGCATTTAGACATCTACAAGTTGGCCAAGTTTTTTATGGCATAACCTTCCCTTTTTATGGTTGCAGATATGGAGTGAGAACAGAAGGTGATCAAGCTGAAATGGGATCTGGAATAAATATCTCATAGCTTTAGTGCTGACCAGTTTGCCCCAAATTCTGGATTATTTCTTAACTTTGGAGTGGGTCATCGAAAATTAAGAGATGTCTGTCAAGCTCATACAAGCCCTTGGACTTGTTTACCCCAAAATCCCAGAGTTACCCCAAATGGAAAACTGATTGTCCTCATGATGCACAGTGGCTTCCAGAGAGCATTGCAGCCCCCCCCCCCTTTAAACAGACTTTGCCCAAAGTGGGGACTTTTTTAAAGCAACTGAAAGAGTGGAACTACAGAGGACTATCCATGGCTATTCCTGCCATATTGGGACAGTTGCAAAGTGTACAAAGATGACCATTTCAAACAATGGTATGTGGTGTCCTTGCGTTTAAAATTGTATTAAAGTTGTTATCTGTGGGCTCTGTGGCAACATAGTTTTGCTTTATTACAGCATAAATTGTAAACGATTGTTGAAAGAGCTAGTAATTGACCCAATGTTCTGGTTATATATAATGGCAAAATTTTTGAGTGGTTGCAGACCTATGGCCAGAGTATTCATTCTAGTCTGCGGTGCCAAGATAGTAGAATGGATTTTCCTTGCAGATAAGCATCTGTGAATTTCTTAGGAAATAATCATGTATAAGAACATTTTCTATCACTGCTATATTGGTGCTGGATTTAAATGAAACCCCATTTAATTCTGTTGCCAATTGTTTTGTAGCCTTACGTATTATATATATTCCTGCAGTCAATGCTTAATCATTCCTCACAAAACAAGGAAGTCCTGCTTCTATGTCTGAGATGGAAAGTGGAGAATAATGTGTAGATCAAACCAACACTCCAACACATTGGGAAACGATATTTCATTGAAATAGTAGTGCAATATCTGCCACAATCTAATTGCTTCAGATAAAGAGATGGAGAAGGCACAGTACTCAGAAAAATGTAGACTGTGATAAGCCCAGCATCTCTAACAACATAGTCAGCCCACACTTCTCAAAGCCAATACGGCAACATTGTGGAAAATTAGTGTTAAGGTTGTGGAGAAGAGAACAGTTATCTTTGTATCAGTTGGACCTCGTATCAAGTGATGGAGCCAGACCATTCACACTGATAGTAAAATGCATGTACATCTTTCTTTCCCATCTAACATTCATCCTGCCAGATGTAATTGTGTCATAAGATTTTGCAGTGTTTAATCACCATAATATAAATATATTGTATTTCTATATATCAACCTGCCCGTAGTCTGAGATCTTCAGGAGAGGTCCTTCTCAGACCAACTACCTTCATTGTTGTGGAGTCACAAGATAGGCACTTCTTAGTGGTTGGTTGTAAAGTCTGGAAATAATTTTGTAGGAAGGTTAGAATATCTCCTTGTAGACTTTGCATTAGCAGGAAAAAAGCTTCCCCCCCCCAATAGGATATCAAAACTAGATGCTTTTAAAGGATTTTAAAGAGAGCACTGCATTGTTTTTATTGTTCTAACTGTGCTACTTTTAATTGCTCTGCATCATTTTAAACTAGATTTTAAAACATCACTTATTTAATTCCATTTTAATGTTGATGTCTGTTTCATTTTTCAATTTGAAAATTCTAGCTTTTGGGGGGAAATGAGATAAAAATAAAGACAGCAGCAGTAATAACTATCATGGAAGACAGGAAGACATCGGTAATTAAGGGCCAAAGGCAGCATTGCAGAGATAGTTTCAGCTCCTCATATACCAATGGTGCAGATACTTTCAAACTCAAACAACACTAAAAAAGGGAATGGATTAGATCCAAAATTCCTCCCCCACAGATGTGAGGATGAATCCAGCAGAGACGACATAAGCAATGAATCGAGGAGGAAGAGAATCTTTTGCTAGATTGGGGAGGAAATAGGAATTTCTTTTGTGTAGAAATATATGCCAAAGAAGTCGCTACAAACTGAACACAGGAACTTTGAGAGTATACATTATTTCCAGAACAGTAGCTGCGAAATCAATCAGTGTGTGTATCTCAAATGCTACTCAAATGCTAATCCAAGATAGCTATTGCAACATTCACACTTGCTATGGTGCCTACAGAGTATGTTTGAATTCAGAGGTAAACCTATTATATGTGCATGTATTTTTTTTCTGCTCCTCATTCAGTCTCCCAACATGGCTGTTGCTGGCCAAGAATTAAAGATGTGATCACATTATCCTGTTCTTCTTCTTGGTAAGGCTCAACCCCATTTCTCAAGCGTTTCTGTGATTATGAGAACTTGCTTCAGATAACATTCCTTCATCAGAGGCAATCTGACCAACTGGTTTGTTTAATCTTGAGTAGACCTATAAGAACCACGAGCATCTTGAATTGCTTAAAGCCCTTAGAGAAGTGGTTCTCAACCTGTGGGTCCCCAGGTGTTTTGGCCTACAACTCCCAGAAATCCCAGCAAGTTTACCAGCTGTTAGGATTTCTGGTAGTTAAAGGCCAAAACATCTGGGGACCTACAGGTTGAGAACCACTGCTTTAAAACACTGTGTTGGTTTTAATCAACATAGGCACTCAAAGTACATATTTTCTACTAATTCCTTCCTTTCTGTCAGTTTTTTTTTCCGCTTCTGCTGACCTGCACTCACCTTCAATCTTTTATAGCTGCTGTGCAGATTGATTTGTGTTGGCATATCAGACACACTGATATGATGCTGCACTAGCATATTTATGCAGTTACACCAATGGCCACTTTATGGGCAGTTTCAGACATGTCTTGCAGTCATTTACCAACAGAGCTGAATATAGGATTAAGCTCTTAGTCACTGATGTAAAATCTATCCTCAAAGATTCCTGCACTCTTCTCTTCTACTTGTTTCCTTGTTTCCCCCCCAACAAATGCAAGTAATGTGGGAGTGGAAAGGCTGGTTGATGTTTAGAAACAAAGAGATAAGAATTTGTTTTATGGTAGATTGGCAAGAAACAGATTTATAATTATTTCAATTAGAAACTACAAAAAACATTTTATTGAAAAGAAAGCTTGATTTCTGTGAGCATTAGTGACTTAATGTGGCATGTCTGAACAAAAAAAATTCCCCCATGTTTCAAAGTTTCCAAGAGAAAAGGACATTCATTCAGTAGGAGAGTCCTTTGATTCTTTACTGCTTGATGTCCATTGTTCAAATATTAGTACTTAATTTAATTATGAGATTATCCCCACCTAGTAGTTTATAAATACAAAATTTTTAAAATGGATGCTAAGAAGAGGTGTTTCTCTGTATGTGTGTAGGTATCTCTATGTGTGAGTGTGTGTGTATATATATGTATATGTATGTATACACACACACACAGGTACATTTAATACTGCTTCACTGTGCAGTGATCTCAAGGAGAACTGAACAAAATCCTTAAGAGAAGTGACAACACAACCTGAAATTACACTATAATATAGGTGTTTTAATGGAGAAACATTGGCAATATTCCCAACATTTCTTGTGGTTGTAAAGAAAATACAAGCTGACAATTGATACTGGAACAGTACTTACATTTAATTACAAGTGAGCAGGATATGTTTAGAAGGAGAAAATTACATTAAAACTGTATTGTACAGAAGAGTCACCACCACCACCACCACCACCATCAACTTTGAGTCTAAGAATTCACATAACAGCATCATCTGCATTCTGCCTATTTATTGGAACATGCTAATTAAAACAGATGAGTGGACCTAAAATGAGTGAAGTAAACACTGAATAGAAGCGGAAAAGTTCACAGGAAGCTGGGAGTGGCAGTCTTTAAATGTAAGTACTACACCAAGTGCTCCTACTGTTTTAAAATGTTGTTAAAGCCCTTGATTTCAAATGGAGATAACAGTGAGCTATTCTATCCACTCCAGACTTAAGCATCTCGCTATAAAGGCATACATGTCAGATGCTTCCTCTATAACTTTGGCCGTTGGTTTTCCAGCACCGTGGCCAGCCTTGGTGTCAACATGAATTAGGAGTGGATTGGTTTGCTTCGGGTTTCGGCCCAGAACATACTGCAGAGTGGCAATGAACTTCAGGGAATGAAGAGGCACGACACGGTCATCGTGGTCAGCCGTTAGTAATAAGATGGCAGGATACTGGACTCCATCTCCTTCAGGTGTTTTGATATTATGAAGAGGAGAATACCTGCAAGAAGGGCATAACACTTGTTTGATCTTTGAAAAACAGACATAATGATTTTTTTCAGCAACAGAATCTGCTGGATTTACAACGCTAACACTCAGCTTGAATGATCTTATGTACTTTGTGGAGTAGGAGCCTGTGTTGCTGAGATGGATAGGCCAGCAAAGGCAGAAAGAAGGGTGTCTGGATTGAGAAATGGGAAATGCACATGGCATTTTATTGTCTGTTGCAATTGCTTTGGCATTATTATTCTGAACATTTTTCTTTCCCCAGGAAAGGATAGAAAGGTAAACATCTTGGCAGCATCACAACACTGCCTGCACCACTGTGTTTTGCAGCCATCAATGTATAATGTATATGCTGGGATAAACTTCTCTTTAAATACAATGCACCTCTAGATTGCTGTCGAAGTGATTTACATGCAAGTAATAGCTGAAATCTATAGATTGCACATAGATGGATGTTTTCTGGATCTTTACTAATATTTTAAAATTTGATAATATTTATTTCAAACAAGACAGAAAGGCAGACAGCTTCAGTATGTATTCCACATATTTATGTGTGATATAAACAAAACAAAACCCCGAGTTGCCTGCAGGCTGAGAGGGGTGGTATATAAATATAGTAAATAAATAAATAATAAACAAAACAAAACAAAAACCACTGTCACTTACTTATACAGCCATTCAAACTGTTCTTTGTAATCTGAGCAGCCAAAGTCTGTTGTCCAGGCATGACCAATGGTGAATTTATGGAACTTCAACATGTCCATCACGCCCACTTGAGCAATAACACACCCAAATAGATCCGGACGCTGATTGGCACAAGCAGCTTGGAAAATTGAAGGGGGGGGGGGGACACAACAAATCCAGGTAATATTAACATTAATATGTGAAGGAGATAATACCACTATAAATTAACACAGTTTTAAATAAAGCAGCATGAGGTCGCAGGATCTGATAAATATTGACCTACACCAAGAATACGTATCAGTTTGTTGCTTGATCAAACAAAACACTCCCTGAAAAAAGGAGATGACTTCAATAATGTATATGGAGGTACTTGCGGGTCTACATTAAAAAGTTACACACCTTTAGGTATCTTGATAAATTTTGGCTCATAGTACTAGTCAGCATTAAAGTAAAGGTTTCCCCTAACATTAAGTCTAGTTGTGTCTAACTCTGGGGAGAGGTGCTCATCTCCATTTCTAAGCTGAAGAGCCGGCGTTGTCCATAGACACCTCCAAGGTCATGTGGCCAGCATGACTACATGGAGTGCTGTTACCTTCCCGCAGAAGGTACTAATCTACTCACATTTGCATGTTTTTGAACTGCTAGGTTGGCAGAAGCTGGGCCTAACAGCGGGAGCTCACCCTGCTTCCTGGATTCGACCCGTCAACCTTTTGGTCAGCAAGTTCGGCAGCTCAGTGGTTTAACCCATTGCACCACCAGGGTTAGCATTACTCAATTCCAATTTCTTTTAGCACAACAAACGTAAGACATGGAAACTATTGCCATGCTTTTAAATAGACTGGAGAAGATGAGAAGGTTGAAATGAATAGCTGAGACAGCATTTATAAGCTGGCACAGTGTAGTGATTTGAATGTTGCATTAAGACTGGTGAATCTGTGCTAAGCCATGGGAAACCATTGGATATCCTTGGGTAAGTTATATTCTATCAGCCCCAGAGGAAGGCAAACAAATCTTGCCAAGAAAATCATGTGCAAAGTTCACTTTAAGGTAGCCATAAATCGGTAACAACTTGAAGGCATACAACAAGAATAACAATGAATGTGGATCACTGTGGATCCAAACCTGGGACACAGCCAGACTCCCGCCAGTCTGAAAATTTGCCATGACCTCCATTTTCTTTGAGAATGGCGCTCATTCTAAAGGAATACATCTGAATATTTTATCAGTGGCAACACATTACGGAAATGTCAAAGACAGAGTTTCCTTTCCTTTTTCTTACTTCGTTTTCAATAAATGTAATGCACTTTATGAAATAATCCTTGTATATATTTATTTTAGGACAGGAAGAACTCCTCATTTTCAACTGAATGATGAAGAACTTGATTCACAAATGCCTTGCAGAAATCTGTAATCCACCAAGGTGGACAGATCCTGCAACATCACCAGCAACTCCAACATCATACAGTACTTAGGTGAGTAAACACTTCAAGTGGTTTGGCAATTGCTAGGAACAATTATGCAATGGCCACTGTAGCCTGCTGTGATATGTAAATATTTTGCTTTCTGCCTCTATGCAGGAATTATATGTGTATGTTATGCAGGCAGGATTTTTTTTTTAAATGGCCAATTGATATTCTACAAATCTAGACATCTTTTCAAGTATGAGCTAAATTCAACAATTATTTTGATACCAATTTCAGCCCCTCCCCTAAAAAAAAAAAGAAAGCCCAGAATTCAGTATCAGACCTATTGATGCATGGCCTGTAGTTATACATCCATAGCAGATCCATATTCATGGTCATAATTCATAGTCATAATTGCAGCACAATTGCCACAACTGTAATACCCCCCCCCCCACACACACAGTTTATTTGGCATCATTTTCATAGAGCAAAGGAATCTGATCTGCTGGTAATTGAGGTGCAGATGGATGATGTTTCTTCCCCCTCCATCAATGAATCAGGTTGAAGCCAACAAAAGCAGGACCCCCTAGTTCTAGGTTTGGAGAAGGATTGGGCTGCAAGATGCACAATTCTAAGTGCTGGTTTTACCCTATAAAGCCACAAATGGTTCAGAGTTTAAGATCGTCCAGGGGGGCCTTGCTCTCCGTCCCACATGCTTTGCAGGCATAACTGATGGGGATGAGAGACAGGGCCTTCTTGGCGGTGGCCCCTCAGCTATGGAACTCCCTGCTCAGTGATGTTGGATCAGCCCCCTCCCTCCTCACCTTCAGAAAGAGAGTGAAGACATGGCTCTGGGATCAAGCCTTCAGAGAAGAACCATAGTGCAATAGCTGGAATATGTGAAATGACTATCGGAATGACCTGGACTATGATTGTGGATTGCGTGGTTTATAATGATAGTAATGTTTTATAATGCTTAATATATTTAATGTCAATTTTTAATTTAAATTTTAATGTATTTTAATTGTATACTGTGGTTAAGGCACTGAATTATTGCCTATCTGTAACCCTCACTGAGTCCCCTTTGGGGTGGAGAACGGTGGGATATAAATATCGTAAATAAATATTAACTACGTAGTTATCTAACTAAAGAGTGTTGAATTCTGGCCAAAATTTTTACGAACTTGCTGTCCAAACCCACAAATATTTCTATATTAAATCTATTCATGTGCTTTATTTACAAAAGGTTTTAAAAGGAATCGCATTATCCTTACCAACTAAGAGGCCTCCATTTGAACCTCCATTAATAGTCAGCTTCTTTGGAGAAGTATATCCCTCTTTGATAAGATACTCTGCTGCATGTTGGAAGTCATTAAAGCAGTTTTGTTTGTTGGCCAAAATACCTCCTAAGCACAAATATACAAAAAAAAATCAGTTAAATCCTTCAAGCATACAGGCTTTAGGAAGAGTGCTCCAATGTGCAGGTAAACACAAAAGCACTGCATGGGATGATTTTTCATTTCCATGAGTATTTTAATAATGTATGCAGTCAGGAATACAAAAGACAATGAAGATATTTCTCAACAGAGAGTTTGGAAGACGGTTCTGCCAATAACCTTAATGCTTTCAGAAGCTTTGAATAATACATACCTGTGCTGAAGCCCGGGGGGTGGGAGGAGGGGAGACAACTATGGCATCACCATATCAGGTAATGTTTCTAATAACTTATCCCATCTAAAAAGCTTCACACTGCAGTCAAATGGGTAATAGGCCTTTCTGATTGAGGTTTATCTAGATTTCTAACAAAATATGCCATTTTCAGCTTGTTTATGATGTTTTAAGATGATAGGGCATAACAAACCTATCACTGCAAAAAGGTAAATGAGCATTGCTTACAATTAAAAACCCTTGAAAATTATGATACATAATTGGTAATTTGTTTCATTAAACCACTAATTATGGATATTTGTTAGAAATCTGTTTCTATTTTTAGATTTAGCCTTTATTAATTGCAGGGTGACTCAAAACTTTAGAGTGTATATCTAAAAGGAGAAACAGAGAAAGAAAAACAGAGAAAGACTGATCAAGAGAGAGAGAAAGAAGTAACATAAACAACAGATTCTTGTGACACTTTAACAATTAAAACATATCGTAAATAAAGTAAATAATAATATTATGGCATAAGTTTTCAGGAATTACAGCCCACTTCATCTGCTTCATGAAGCGTTATAGAAGATTTGAGATCACATACAGTACACGACTCTGGAACATGTATATGGGCTATCCCTCCACATTTGTGATGTTGACTTTTATAGATCTGTTTTTACACAGATTTGATTTAAAAAGTTCTCTTCTGGATTTTAACCTGTGGGGTGGGGATAACCAGTAGGCCACAAGGATGACAATCTGGTCCACGAGCCTCCTTCCTCTTTATTTTTTAATTTAATTTAATTTAATTTAATTCCACTCCTTTCATGCCGCCTGCCACTCCTTCCCTGTCGCTGATCATGGCATATAGTCTGTGTCTGAAACTAGAGCTGATGTGATCTATCCAATGCAATTTTCTGAATCAGCACCCCAAAGTTGACCAAAAACTGATATGTAACCCTTTTGGTACTAATGATGGAGAGTGGTCTCTGGGCAAAGTGGTCCCTGGCCAAATAGTTCCTGGTCAAGTGCTTCCTGGTCATAAAAGGTTGGGAACTCCTGCTCTAAGTCCTCAATTTGACTTTGTGGACATCTTCAGCCAGTCATGCTGGAGAATCCAGAGATTTCCAGCAAGAATGCCTCTAGGAATCGCTAGTTTCTCCAATGCAATTCTATGGTCAGCTTTCGTGCTGGAAGATCTAGAAATCCCCAAAGAGATGCTCTCTTAAGTCAAAAATTAGGAATTTCATTATTCATGGTTTTTCACTTTCATGGAAGTCTTGTGCCCCTAATCCCAGGGAATACAGGTTGGGGGGGAGCTGATTGTATTTTCTCTACCGATATATAGACAGACAGACTTAGCTGTATATATGCCTGTTTGTCTCCATTAAATCTTGGATTAAAAATTCATGCATTCAGACAAAGCTTATACTGTAATATATTTCTTTAGTGTTTATGGTGCCACAGTATGCTTTCCTGATCTTACAGGCTTAATTAGTCTCTTGGGAAGCACAGAAATACTTGGCTTTAAGAGCCAACATGAGAGTTTTGTGTCGCAGGGCAAGAGTGTCTTTCACTTTCTCCTCTTTCCTCATTTTTCTCCTCTGCTGAAACACACACACGTGTGCACACACACGACTCTAAATCTAGCAAAAATGTTCACTCTGCCTATCATACTTTGCGTCGCCTGTCACTTCAAAAAACAACACCAACCAACCAGCAGGCTCGCCACTGAAACTAAATACATCTGCATTTAATCTTGTTAAGTATTCTTATTTTCTATAACCAATCGACATCCTGTGTCAGGTTCCTGAAACATTCACCCTTGTTTGAGATCATGGGTGTCAACCTTATACAATTAACATAGTATGCTTTTTTAAAAAATAGGAATTATGGGAATACATAGCCTCATGCTAATTTCTTGTAAACCCACAGGTATTTTATTAATCTCACAGGATAATATTACACTGAAATGTAGAAATTACTCCCTGCCTTTTCAAAACTATTTCATATTTCCGAGGACTGAGCTGACACTGTAAAAATACATTGAGTGTGGGTCTGATAGCAAATTACTAATTTTCATTGTTATGTAAAAACAGTTGAGTTAATAATTAAGGTAAATGGTCAAATTTAACATTTAAGAGGAAATACATCATTAACTTTTCCCACGTATATTAGCTTTCCCCATGTGATTGTTTCCTTTGCTTGTCATTTATTATGACAACCTCAGATTTTATGAAGCTCTTTTAAACAGAAGGTTCTGGGTTATCTGCTTAACCTCAGGTGTATATTGAGCATAATAAAACATATGTACACCTTCACATTTTGCACTTATGAAAAGTTATGAGCCAACTGTTCCCCCAAACATAAATTTTACAGCTATGATCCTGAAATTGTATTGTATTTGTATGTATAGAGCAATAAGAACATCCAAGGCCTATAAGATTTCTTTCTCCTTTTCATGTGTAGCTGTCTGTCTGTCTGTCTGTCTTTCTGTCTTTCTTACCTACCTACCTAACTACCTACCTTTTCTCTCTCTTTTCCATGCAAACTAATGTTGGTTTTTAAATATGCTTAACTGAAACAAACTAACATCATATGGTTCACAAAGCAGTTTGCCTTAATAAACTATAGTTAAGATAATCTGCTTCTCAGGGTAAATCAGAACTGCAGAGTTAATGCAGTTTGACACAACTTTAATTGCCATGGTTCAGTGATGTGCAAGGAGGCCACGGTGGCGCAATGGGTTAAACCCTTGTGCCAGCAGGACTGCTGACTGAAAGGTTGGCGATTCGAATCCGGGGAGTGGGATGAGCTCCTAGCCCCAGCTTCTTGTGCAGCGACATGAGAGAAGCCCCCCACAGGATGGTAACACATCAAAACATCCGAGCACCCCCTGGGCAACATCTCTGCAGATGGCCAATTCTCTCACACCAGAAGTGGCTTGCCGTTTTTCAAGTTGCCCCTGACATGAAAAAAATGCTGTTCAAACCTGAGAGTAGTAGTTTGCCATGGCATCAGCACTCTTTAGCAAAGACCTTGAAAAACTATAGCTCCCAGGATTCCATAGCATTGATTCATGGCAATTAAAGTGGTATCAAACTGCATTAAGCCTACAGTGTAGTCATAGAATCATAGAATCATAGAATCAAAGAGTTGGAAGAGACCTCATGGGCCATCCAGTCCAACCCCTTGCCAAGAAGCATGAATATTGCATTCAAATCACCCAGAGAGAGTTTCTCCTAAGCAGAATGTGATAACAGAGAGGGGGAGGCCGCTTTGTGAACACAAAAGTACATTTGGACCCATTGTATAGATTATATCAACTTTATATCAATTTTAAAAAGATGTTTCAGCATTTGGCCTGGACATGAGAAAATGATTGCAGAAACTGCTGCTTACAGAAAACCAATTCTGTTCAAGTTTTTAACACTTCAAATGTATTTTTTCTCTCAAAAAGCCATGATAAAGCTCTGGTGAATTGAGGAATTGCTCATATTGATTCAGAATTTGTCAACTACTTAACCAATTGTACAGATAGTCATCACAAGGTCAAATGCAAAGGGAAGGAAGGAAAAGGAAAGGACGGAAGGCAACAGACTATGAAGGAGATTACATTAATTGGCTCTAACAAACACATATGCATTAGAAATAAGCAGAAAATGACAAGAAATACATTATTAGTTCATTATTTCAAAAATTTATATCCCATGCTTCTCAAGGGGGGGCCCTTCCCGGTGGGGGGGGGGGTGTGTGCTCAGTGCGGCACATCCTGTGCTTTATTCCAAATCTTGAAAAGGTCATCTTTTTTGGATGACAGCTCCCATTCCATTGGTTGTGCTGACTAGGATATTCAAAGAGTCGTAATCCAAAATTTAAAAACTCCAAGGTCTCCTTTATTTTAAGTGCTTTATTGCACTTTCAGCAATATGGCATCATGATTCTCTACCATTTAAGACCATGGTGCCAAATTCACTTAATGTCAGAAGCAGCTGTCTAGTAAATTAACAGACAGATTTTAAAGCTAATGTTAATATGCAGTCTGCAGTGCAATGTCAGGAAACAAGAAAACATGGTCCTCCAACAGAAAGGTAAACTTTATTAAAAATTCATTAAGTTTCTTCTGTTAATTTCACTTTTTGCGTGTGTCAGGAGCGACTTGAGAAACTGGAGGGACATTTTGTCTTTGACAATAATATTGCAGACACACTGGCAGGCATGCTTCATCTTTCTCAATATCATCTGATCTTTTTTCCTAATTACAAGGAAATACTGTAGACCACAGAAACAATTAAAGTAATACTGAACAAAGCTGAATAACCTGAAAAAATGGAAAAGAGGAATAGCTGCATATTCATAAAAAACACTATTTTAAATGGCTTTTAGAAAAGATTAAGAAAGAGAACGAAACTATTTTTGTAAGCCAAGAGATAGTGAACATTTTCAAATAAGCTTGTAAGGATGCTGCTCTAAATGCAAGCTAAACAGGCCTGTGTTACCTGGATGAACACCAATATCTGACCAGCATAGGAAAATATTCGGATTGTCATTGAACCGCCATCTGCTCTTGCACAAAGAAATCCTTACCTTTGTGCCAGGTCTCTCCATATTCGCCACCTCCCCTGATGTTAGCCACAGCCATAATGCCACCCAGATGTCTTATAAAAATCAATCTTGATACACTGAAATAAAAAGATGGAAAGATAAAATACTCTGAGGATGACTGCCATAAATGTGGGCAAAATGTCAGGAGATAATGCTTCTGGAAATGGCCATACAGCCATATTCCAGAACTCACAGCAACCCAGTGATTCCAGCCATGAAAGCCTTCGACAACACAATATTTATGAAGTTTAAAAACTTTACAACTCAATTATAGACAAACTATAAAACAGCACAGGTAGGAACACACCACTAAAAGCCCATCCATTACTAAAAGACTAATGTTTTAACTTTTTGGCAGAGGGATAGTAAGGATGTGTTAAGAAGGGAGTTTCAAAGTCAGGGAGCAGCCAAGATGAGCCTGTGTAGGTTTTGGGACAAAAAGATGGGCCTCTCTGGGTGATCTCAGAATTTATTGGGCTCATAAAGGGAGATATGGCCCTTCAAACAGCCTGGAAGCAAGCCAGAATCTATGTTATCCACCACTGACTAAAAGACCACATCTTCTCATATGAGACTGCCAGATGTTTCAGATCCTCAGCAGAAGTCTGGCTGTGTGTTCCAACATCTCAAGAAGCTAGGTTGGAGTGTTCACAAACTATTTATTTATTCATTTCCTTTTATTTCATTCTGGAAGGGAACCAAAGATGGCTAAGACAAAGACAAGACTTCCTCTGTAGTGACATCTTAATTTCAAAACTAATTTCCAAAGTAATAACCGAATAGAATACAAGTAAATCAACAAGGTTCCTGGGACATGATGTTTTTGGGTATTATGAAAGTAATCCTAAAGGACAGAGAAGAGCGAACTGATAGATGACCCATCCCTTTCAAAACTTTTATGCCTTATGTTGTCCAGGGCACAATAGTGTTTTTTGATCTAGTGATGTGACCAGCTCCTCAGAGTTACCCTCCAATTGAAAAGACTGAAATGTATATCCCCGTTCCAGTCTTTTTAATGGGAGAGTAACTATCCATGACAGCTTAAGGTTGGTGTACTCATGAAACTTCTCCTCTCCCAACTTACTCAGCAGAGATTCACTCTGAAGTACAAAGGCCTACTTCCAAGCCTAGGTAGAGCGGTTCCACACAGTGCAAAAAGTCCGTGCCAACCCAGGTTTAAAAAACCTTCAAGGAAGGCCTGGATCTAATCCACTATCAAATTACTTTGATAGTAATTTGATTTTCCTGCTTTCTGCCTAATGCATTCACTTTTATCTGTGGCATTATTTGGATGTCCCAGGTAACAATGCGGGAGGGCACATATTTTCCACCTTGTGTGGATGTACCCATAGTGATCTGAAATTTGTGACTGCTTTCTCCACCAGCAATCACTGCTAGTGTAGGAATAGATTTTGTCATCGCATGAATTGTTGCTAACAATGCATGCATTTTTCCTTGCTACTTCTCTTACTTCTGCTACCTGGGTATTTCTTACTTCTTTTATCTTTAACTATCAGGCTTTTAACATTTATGCTTTTAACAGAGATAAAAGAAAACAAAATAAAGCAAGAAATGTACAAGTAATTATTGAGATGTCTAAATCATCAAGCATTTCTAAACACTGCTATTAAGACGGTTCTTCAGGTGACCATTAGTAATCACAAAAGTAAAATGAGAAAAGGGCTTACAGTCAAATGATGCTTGAAATTAACAGAATAGGATGTTCAGAGTGTAAAGATAATATACAGGAAGAATCTTGCTTAATGGGAAGCAGACTATATTTTCTCCCAATTTTCCCTTATTTTTTCAATCTACATGTATCCCTGAAGGCAATATGTTTGCTATCAATATCTATTTGACTAACATACGATAGTATTTTCTGCCCTTCAGGCTGAATTCAGTAAACGAGTCTGGCAAGTCTGATGCTTAAATATTGTGCAAGTCTTTCAAAGTCCACTTTATCCTCACTTAGAAATGACATTGTGTGTCCTTTCCTTCCGGACGGTTGAACCATTCATTTGGGTTTTATTGTCACGTCGAATTTGAAAGTGCATGGGTGAATGACTGGCTGCTAGTTCAGAAGCATGGCAACAAAAATGGAAACAGACACCAAGCAGAGAAAAAGTCTCAATGGGATAAAGTTTATTTATGGTTGCTTGTTTTTGGAATCTTCCAAGGAATAGGATTCTGTTGTTCAGCAATGAACTATTCATAATTTCAGCATTTTCTTTGGTACTGAGAATCCATATGCATTCTGCTGGAACAGAAATCACTTCCAAAATCTTAATATTTATTTGGGTTACTAAATTATCCAGGTGTGCATCTACACTGTAGAATTAATTCAGTTTAACACCATTTTTATTTCATTTTAATCCCGCCTTTCTCCTGACTCACAGTTGTCTCTATTGACTACAACCATTCTTTTCATTCCTAGGAACTTTCCAGAGACTGGCAGCCAGGAGCTTGCAGGCCACCTCTGGTCCACAGATTATCACCTTGAGTTTTAGTGGTCTAATCGAAACATTCCAGAGGAAGGAAATTGCTGGCAAAAGATGCAGGAAAAAGAGCAAGCTATTTAACTTGAAAACTATATTTTGGGTAAGCTGTTTAGCTTCACAGAAAATGCCCTAAGGACCAAAGCCTACCTAGAATCAGAGTCCCCACAAAAGCCAAGCAAATGCACAGACCAAGTCAGTAGGCAAGACACAGAGATAATAGCTATTTCTTGCTGTTTTCCCTAGCAACAGATGTTCAGGTTCATACTTCTACCTCATCTTGGATGCAATACATAGCCATTATGATGAAAATAGTCTTATTCTCCATGGGCTTATCCATTTTCCCCTTGAAAGAAAGGCAAAGCTGGTAGCTATCACATTCTGAATACTACTGTATTGCACTCTTTGTAAAGAAGGATTTTATTTAATTTGTTCCAGATTTCCCACCATTTGAATTCACTGGGTAGACCTTGATGTTCAGTACAACATGAAATATATAAGCGCTTTGTAGCTACTTCTTTCTGCATTCTTTTGCGCATCTGTGAAATGTCCTCCTTTGTTAGCTGTTTTTTTTCTAAATTAAGGAGCACTTTCTACTGGCAACATGGCTGTTATGTGAAGAACAAACAGCATGAACCAAAACTCAAATGTTTTGTAGGTTTAGCTTAAATATTCATTTGCTGTACATTCATCTTGAATAATAAAGTGAGTGATCTCATATTACAACAGCTTCAGCATTTTAATACATTTCCCATAAGACCCTGATCTTACCTGTAGCTTGGTGTGATCGATATATTGAAGCCACCATAACCATAAAGGAAGGCTGGGTGAGATCCATCTAATTTGATTCCTTTTTTGTGGACAATAAACATGGGGATCATTGTGCCATCTTTGCTGGGGTAAAAAACCTAGTATGGGGGGGGGGGGAAATGTAAAGTATAATTAGCATGGAATACACTTCCAATAATATCACTCAGAGTCAACCATAAGCATGTATTTACACCCTGTCATAAAAAATCTGTTTCTATTAAGTGAGCAACACATTCAAATAACAAATATACACAAAGTATTTTATGGAACTAAAAGAAAAGGGTGTGTAATAGCAAAGATACATCTATTGTTCCTAACTACTTGAACAAGCTAACTCTTCCCATTCCAGTTGATATAACACAGGTGTGCCAATCTCAGCACTTCATCATATTAGGAAACACTCAGTTTCTGAGGTTGATTAAGGAAGTTTATCCCATTCTGTTGGTAATCCATCAAAATCCGTCTGAAAAATGATGCAGAAGTGGAATACAGTATTTCTAGATGATATTCTAATAATATTTGAAATACTATGGCATTTTCCATCGCTGAAGTGCTGTTTTTGCATGTTATCAGAAAATAGCAACAATATGACTTTTCATCGGGGGCATGTCCGGTGGGCTGAGTATTTTGACCCCAGAATTTTTGAGAGGGAAGCAGCCACCATTTCTCTTTGGGATATCAAAGGAAAAGAATCTACAGAATTAAAGAAATCAGGAACTGCTGCTTTACACACACTGTCTCTCTCTCTCTCTACACACACACACACACACACACAGATGAATCTGTGCAATTTCTTTCTCTGTTGTTTTTGTATTGAAGCAACAAGCTTTCATTTATAACTATACCCCTCCTCAGAAGGAGAAACAGCATTATCAGAAGCTGTTGTTGCATCTGCATCGCCTCCAGTTCAGTCTCATAAAACTGAAGCAGTAACTGCAGCAGCATCAGTAGATGTAGATTAGATTATATTCCTCAGAACTCTGTATTTTGCATAAAAGGTAGTGATCAGACAAATGCATTTACTGTGCAGATGCAAGTATGTTTTTGAATACATCACTGTTCAGATTTAGATTTTTTTAAAAAAAATAGGTCATGGAGTGACATAGTGGGTCTTCTGAACAGATTGAGAGAAGCAGCCTTCCATAGTGCGATGGGAAAAAGCACAGCATTTTCTGAAGAATAGGAGTATTTAGGTGTGATGGGGTCAGTATGCATCCCATCTGCATTCAGTCAGAAAAACTATGGGATGCATACCGATAGGAACTGATTATTTCCTAATGTGATGAGGTGCTCATTTTCACCAAAGGACACATCAGCCTTATGGTTGCCTTCAAAGGGTTGTTGTAAATGTAAGACTGTATAAATGTAACTATGTTGCCCTGGCATTGCAGGCCACTTAAAATTACATGGTGGACCAGATTTGGCCCACGGGCCGTGTGTTTTTAACATGTATGATATAAGATATGGAAGTCCTGCTCTCACCACAATATTAATTCATGTCTGTAGTAAAGGAGTAGGATCACATTTTCATCCTCATCCTCAATTTTTTGCACATTCAATGTGAAGAGAAAACACACCTACACCTCTATGTAATTGGGAAGCCTACAGAATCACCAGAGGCGGCCCTAGGTAATTTTCAACGGTAAGCAAACAGTATTTTGCCCCCCCCCCACCAATCATTGATATATATTTTCTGTTCGTCGTGGGAGTTCTGTGTGCCATATTTGGTTAAATTCCATCATTGGTGGAGTTCAGAATGCTCTTTGATTGTAGGTGAACTATACATCCCAGTAACTACACTTGTGGCACTTGCTCCCTTGCCTGGCCCGCTTTGGGTCCGGAGGCGTGCCTGAAGACCCCGGCGTGTGCACCAAAAGTCACCTCTTCTCCTGACTTTCTCCTCAGCCATTGGGACCAAGAGAGAGAGAGAGAGACAGAGGTGGAGATGCCCACCTTTCCTGAAGGTAGGTACAAAAACAAAGGAGAGAGCGGAGGTGGAAGATACCTCCAGCCGGAGGGGCTCTCTCTCTCTCTGTCTCTCTTGGTCCCAATGGCTGAAGAGAAAGTCAGGAGAAGAGGCGACTTTTGGTGCGCACGCTGGGGTCTTCAGACACGCCTCCGGACCCGAAGAGGGCCAGGCGTGGCAGCTCCGCCCCTTGGCCCACCCGCGGATTGGGGAGAGGAGAGGGGGGTGGAGCGCCGGGGGATCGGGAAAGGGAGCCGGTCATGGGGAAGGGATCGAACACGGAGAACGATTGAGCGCCGGCTCTGCTCACGCACCCAGTGGCCGGGTGGAGCAGGAACGAGAGGGGCTAGGCGAGGCTCAAGGGCCCGGCCCCTTTGGGAAGAGGATCGCCCGGCAGCGAGGCAAGAAGGCCGAGGCTCCCCCCGGACTGCTAGGGCTGTTGTGAGCTGAGGGGGCGCTCCTCAAGTGGCAGTCGAGGGGCATTTACAGAGGATCCTCTGCGCCCCTGGCAAAAAAAAGTGTTCTGCGACCGCTTACTTCGTGTAATGGACGAGCCGCCCCTGAGAATCACGCTCCCAACCACACAATGAGAGACAGCTTTCCTTGTACTGCCCTCTCATGTTCAAAGTCTTCCAGTGGGAGACATCTGAATGTTTAGTCCTTGATTCTGAAATTGTTCTTGTTTCGAATCCAATGTTTTAGCATTCTGTTTCTCAGCCATGTCTCTTCTTTCCTTGGCTACCTTCTCAGCAGTCCATTTCTTTCATAGCATTCATTTTAAAAATTGGAAAGTTCTTGCAGCTGCATATTGCTAGGCACGGTATGCTTTTTTTGGGACATCAATAAAAAAGGGTACAAAATCAACTTAATGGATGCGTGAGAAAATAAACAATCAATGTTGTATTGTATCTAAATTCCTCTAGGACATCAAAACCTTGTTTTATACAATGTTCTCACTAGTTCCTGAAATCTAAGACCATTGAGAGCAAGCAAGGGAGTTCAAACAGGAGTTCCCTGTGATATTAATGAATGCTGATTTACACAAGGCAAGCAGAACCATTGCTGGTTTTACAATCAGCATCCTGGATTGTCTGCAAACACAAATCTAAAACAGATCAGGTTTTCCAGTAAATCTACAATAACAAATGAGAATGTCTTTGTGCTTGTGACAGCGATAACACATCACAATCGCATGTCAGATACCTCAAAACTAGAAATAGGGGCTTTGGTTACTGACCAAATTGAAAGGCTAAGCTTCTTAGCAAGTGGCCTCAGTGGGGGCTAGCCTTACTTAATGCATTAGGAAATAATGACAAGACATCTCAATTTTGATAGTTTTGGTTGTTGAATTCCAGCAACCATGTTCTGAAATAAAGGTGGAAAGGGGATGGAAAGGGGTTTCTCCAGATATAGCTCATTGGTAAATACCTTTTTAAAGAGCTAGAATGTAAAAAGACCTATAGAGCAAAAATATATTGGGAAAAAATAAGAAGGCTCTTTGAGATTTTTTTTTCTAGTGTCAGGAGCTACTTGAGAAACTGCAAGTCGCTTCTGGTGTGAGAGAATTGGCCATCTGCAAGGATGTTGCCCAGGGGACACCCAAATGTTGATGTTTTACCATCCTTGTGGGAGGCTTCTCTCATGTCCCTGCATGGGGAGCTGGAGTTGACAGAGGGAGCTCATTTGCGCTCTGCCCAGATTCGAACTTCCAACTTGTCGGTCTTCAGTCCTGCCAGCACAAGGGTTTAACTAGCTCTTTGGCCTGGAATCTAAAAAGAGTAAGATGCCTGAAACTTAAAAAGGCTCTGGGTTGGAAAACAAGAAGTTGCAGACCCAAGCAGCATTGGGCACAGTAACAGAATGCAATGTTACTGAACTTTTGATTTTGTTATTGCTTTCTAAGCAAACATCCACCTTCTATCCTTACTGGAACGGAACACACTGAACAGTAAGAAACAGCTATTTTTGTAGTTAGTAGGTAACTCCAAAAGGACCACAATCCTTTCTGTCTCTCTCATGTAGCATTCAGTCAGTACAACTAGCATCATGCCTGTTTGTAAAATGAAATGCCACTACTGGTGTCCCAAATTAGCTCTTACTCAATCACAACCACATAGACAATGCTGGGGTTGGGAAGAAGAAGAATGCAGTGGGTGGAGGATCTGTAATGATGCTTTTGAACACATTCCAAAACCAACCTACTATTTATGGCTACAGTGTAAGTAACAGGTGGTGGGGAAATCTTCCTTCCCCCAAACTCAAAGCACTGCAGTTCTACTAATCTATTATTGAAAGACTTGCACAGAATAAAAGGCTTCATACACATGTCTGACTGGAACTACTACACCACACAAATAGTATCAGATGTCAGAATAGGAGGTGGGATCACCAAACAAGCTTGGAGAAAATGATAGCAAGCATGCTGTCTTTCATAGCACTTATCTCAAGTTATCTGAGCTATGGGTTGTTGTAGGTTTTTTCAGGCTATATGGCCATGTTCTAGAGGCATTCTCTCCTGACGTTTCGCCTGAGGATGCTTGCCATAGATGCAGGAGAAACGTCAGGAGAGAATGCCTCTAGAACATGGCCATATAGCCCAAAAAAACCTACAACAACCCAGTGATTCTGGCCATGAAAGCCTTTGACAATATATATATCTGAGCTATGGGTTGTTGTAGGTTTTTTGGGCTGTATGACCATGTTCTAAAAGCATTCTCTCCTGTTCTAGAAGCATTCCCTCCTGACATTTCGCCCACATTCTGTTCTAGAGGACCAGCAAACAATGTTAGCTGCCATAGGTAGATAAACAGAAAAATGTGTAGAGGAGGCCTTCACCAAGTCAAACCAATAGTTCCAGCTAATGTAGTATCTATAATTGTGAAGCCTAGTGTACATGTGATGGTTGTCAAGACCCGTTAGAGCACCTCTGCTCTGAATTCCATTCTTGATTTCAGTAGTTAAAAGTCAGTTCATACCAATTGAGATTCTTCCTTTAACTTTTTTACAATTATAGGTTTTGTTTTAATACTAGCTGTAAATATCTTTCATGTTCTAAAAGTGTCTTTAAACTTCTATTTTCCTTTATTTTCACTTAAATAGTTTAGTTGCCAATCTTCACCAATACAATAGAAA